TACTGATTTCTTTCGAAAATCGACAACTATGAAACTATGATCCCTTCCCCGACACAAACGGTATATTGTGAGACAGAAAATTGTAGAGAGAAACAAGCCCTATAACATAGGATCTACATTTTAATGAACAGAGCTTTCCATAAAATCAATAAAATGAAAAATAAATAGATGAGATCAATGTGTTGCCGACAGATTGCCCTAGACTTGTTTATTCGGTGCGGCCAACGCAAAAAAACGCTAAGCAACCTTTATCCTATGATGTATGTTTAAGTATTTGTTTTGTTAACAAGAAAGCGTATCGGTTTTTTGTTACAAAGTACTGATTGACCCTTCGATTTTGCGCCCCCAAAATGTTGCGCCTACGTGCGTGCACGCACTGCACGCTCGCCAGGAACGGCCCTGATACCCTGTACACAGCTCATCGAACAAACATTTCAATTCTCGAACAATTGAATATTGAATCTAGACTGTCAACATCTGTAAATCAATCTTGTTTAAGATGCTTTGGCTACATATCCAGGAACACCACTGGCCTAGAAAAACTAATTGTGGACGGAAAAGTAAACGGGAAACGTCCTAGAGGGAGATATCCAAACCGTTGGGTGAACCAAATAAAGACGATAATAGGTCATAGTCTGCACAAGACTAGTACTGCTGTACAAGACATAACAACATGAAAAGACACAATAACCACGATTTCATAATGTCACCATACTCTCATAGAGTAATAGGAGGGTGAGTGGAGGTAGATAAAGGGAAGAATAAGTTTAAATATCTTGAACGTCAGAAATTAAAAGAAAAGAATAATTATATGTTTTCAATTCACTTTAAAGAAGCCCCGGTATACAGAGGTAATAACATTAACAAATAGGGTATAGATTATGAAGTTCGATACCAATTACGTTCCGCTGTGTCACGAAAAAGCAGTAGTAGTGGCCAAATCGGCAGCTTTAATGCAAAACGTGACATTTTAAGGTAGAATTGCTCGCGATCCATCCGATAGATGTGTTTTCCCACTCATATGTTACTTAATTGTCTAACAGACCGTATCTAATGCATTAAAGACACTAATTTTATTTGTACTGGTGTAGGCAAAACACAATTTAGCCGATATTACTTCTAGATAGAGGCACGAAAATTATATTTCATTCGGGCTCGTTGATCAAACTGTCTGATTTGGCAAATAAACAGTTTTCAAAGCTGCTTCTTTCGCTATATTTGTATCACCTAGAGAGTTCAAATTTATTTAATTAGATTTTGACCTTCCCTCGTATCAGGCCCCTGCTAATTCATTAGACTCTTGAAAATTTAAAGCAATTACACCCAAAAACTAATTAAATATATATCACGTAAGTCACGGTATTGTTGACAAGTCTTAATGACGATGTTATCGTCTCGAAATTTATTGCCTATTCTGTGATTACTTTCATCAATAATTCTGAAGTTTTCCTTTATATTAAGGACTCTACTTTGAAACGAATTTAACTTTTCAAAGAATTATAATACTATAGTTTATTTTTTTTCGTCAAATTTTAGCAATAAATTAAAACACGAGTTTTTAATATTTCTAGGAATAAATATTCTCTCATGGGTCGATTTACATATAGATTAGCAAGCGCAACATTGTACTGGGGCGCTGTCAAACATGATAAACATCGGGACAAAGATAAAGAAAAGGTACGCCACTGCAAATGCCATTTTGAATTGGACATTTATTTTGTCTGCATCGGGAAAAAAAGTCCTGTCTTATTTTGTCGAGCCAGGAGATACTAGTTCTTTGAAAAGGTGAAACATGTGTGACACGTTAATAACAACGTATGACCAGCGGCTGAATTTTGACAAGGGTCAACCGCAGTGCCGTTCTTAGAATATAGCAATTAAGAATTTGTTAAATTATATGTAATTTTCGGAGTGTTTTAGAAAATTAATTGCAAATTAATCGGGAAAAAGTTATTTTGTACGAATGGGCCTCGGGTCACTAGGTCTCAGCTATTAGTGTTTTTTGGTAGATGACAGCGACGGCTGGTAGAAATTTTTAAATGGGTTTTCAAAAATTAAAATGAAAAAATGGCGAATTCTAGGATTTTACCTAAAACACTAAATTTTAGTTTTTCAGATGGAATTTTTAACCCAGAACAATTATACAGATCAGTGGCATACCACACCATTTTTTTGGTGAGGTTCCCATCACCATCTCGAGAGAGATGATCATAGACAATCACCAAACAGTGTGGTAGTCAGATTGTTGATGCCTACTAAAAAAATCCAAGAATAGAGCATTTTAATAAAAGCTTGTTCTTGAAAATATTTTTTTAAATTTTATTTATAATCTATGAGATTATTTTCGCACCGCCTCTGTCTATTGTTTCGTATGGTCCACAACAAACAGAAAATTAACCCAGAGCAAATGTAATTATGTAACTTTTATTATATGGTGTACGAGATTTCAGCCCTAGCAGACAATAACATATCATTTATTAAAATTAATCTGGCCAAGCTAAACTGCACTAGGCTTATTATAACTGAATGCACATGAGTATTGTTGTAGTGCAGTCATAATTAGTGATATAAAAATCTTGATTAGATTATTAATACAGGAGGTTCTCGTTTTACGTGGGGATTACGTTCATTAAAAATATTGCGTTAATCGAAACCGCGTATATTGAAGCCAAATTTTTATTACATAAACTATAATATAGGAAATATAGGTTTGTAACGTTTCTGTAATGTATATTTGAACATAAATAAATGTATGGTGCTGTAAAGACCTCTTGCGTAATTTTGAAACTTCTTTTTCAGACTTCATTTTCAGTTTCATTCTTATGCTTCATTTTTCCTTGATTTCTTTTCAGTGAGCTCACCAATACGTGGTTCAAGTAGGTCAAACAACCATAGGTGTTCTGATGTTTCCCCATTTTCCCCACAGAATCTGCATTCGCCTTTGTTTCTTAACTTTAATCTACGCAGGTGTTCGTTGAGGAGACAATGTCCTATTTAAAACCCTGTGACTTAAATCTAGGAAAATGTTTGATTTTTCTCAGTCGTAAGTTCTGGGAAATTTCTTCGTGTGTCTTAGACTGTTGGGTGATTCCCATTCCAGGTTATGGATAGGGTCTTCCCACGTTCTTGAGTTCCGCTTTAAGTTGGTTTCCACGTGGGAATCAGAACGGTTCGGGTCCAGTTATTGGAGTGTTCGCTCCTTTTCTAGCTAGATCGTTTGCTTTTTCATTGCCTTCAATCCCTTGCTTGGTGGGCTGGACTGGAGTAGGAGAACTTTATTTTCTTTGCATAATTTGTTCAGCTTCTCTAGGAATTCTTAGACCTTCGAATTGATGATTACTGAATTGATCCCTTTTAATGCTGCTTTACTATCGGACAACATGACTATTTCTTGTTTCCGGTAATTCTTATCTAAGATAAGTTGTACGCACCTTTCGATAGCGTAAATTTCTGCCTCAAGGATTCTGGGGTAGGTGCCCATTGGTTCGGAATATTTAGTTTTCGGCCCAAATACTCCTGCCCAGCTAACTAATATGAAATTGATAAAACCGCGTAAAATAACTCACTTGTGTCAAAAATGCAATCGCGTATAAAAATGCCGCGTAAGACGTTCCTGTAATTATAAAAAAAAAATCAACGTTTGAATTTAAAAAATATTATAAGACTACAATGTTTTGACGAGGTTAACGACAATGCAAGAGAAGCATGAAAAAAAAGAGAGGAAGAAGAGAGACCAATAAAAAGAATCAATTTGGACGCCGTACAAGTCCATCAATAATTTATTAAAATATCCTATCAGGGGTTATGTTTTGATAAGTGTTCTATTTAAATGAACCGATCCATTCCGTGACCTTGAGAGATGTGCGGCTAGTCCTGTCTTGGCAAAGGGGCCCGCAGCCCTGTAAATAATGAGTCTGTGTGACTTACTGCGGGGGGGCATGCGAGACTCCGCCCTAGGGGGCCGTATTCATTTCCAATCACCACTGGATACTGACTGGATCCGTTTTAATTTTCTATAAAGAATTATTGTTTTATAACACTTTGTTCGCTAATCGGCAAAATAATTGTTTAGCTACAGCAGTAATTAATAACTTGGCTTAATTGTTTCGTTGCGTTTCAGCCTTCGGACAACGGCCATGTCTCATTTTCTACCTTGGGACTGTCCACTAATGATCTTTACATGCCCCATGAAATTTCGATTGTTTGTACTATATCCTCCTGTGAATAATATTACCGTCTTACAGGACACTATTAAGACAAAACTAAAAAGAATTTAAAAATTTAAAATATTATTTATATAACAAATCTTTTTAAAAACAAGCTTTGGTTAAAAGCTAAAAAAATATATACTTAAAATTAATTTAAATCCATCAATCTGTTACATTACTCAATTTATATGATAGAAAAGTCTGTCGCCAGAAGAAATATATAAATCTAACTGACATAGTGTTGATAGGTAACTATCTTATAAAATATTATATCTTTCTTATTATTTACTACTTTTCCTCTAAAGAATTATTTTTCATCTTTCGTCTATTCAAGAATTATACATATTTTGACATTAATTAAATAAATATGAACTGTCATCAGTCATCATCTATAAAGACGATAGATATAAGAAATTTTATTAGAAAACACTAAATTTAAAAATTATACCCTTTCTCAAAATTCTGTATTAATCTCATTCAAACAAAAATCAAATTATACTAGAAGAAAATTTATGTTCTAATTAATTACTTAAAAGTACAAAAAAAGATTTAATGAAGTGAGATTTGAAATTTGAATTAACAAATTAACTATCACAATTATTATTAAAGGCTTACAATGTTATTATCTGGAAAAAATTACACTCTTTACTGCTATTGTTAAATAATAATTATTATTGTAAATTTTGATAATATATAAAATTAAAATTCATTTTCAAGGCGACTTCGATTATGAATTTACTATTTATATAAAAATATAAGGGAAATGGAGTGAAATAAAAATACAAGTTCAATTTTATACGACAGCTATATTTTATTATGCCCAGAGGCAATACATACTTCTGTACATAAGAGGGTGCAATAACAAAAACATTTAAAAAGTGTTTCTGATGCATAATAACAAACGAGAAAATAATTTAAAATAATTTTGAATGAGAAAACCCCCCGAACAAAAATGAATGCTATTGGTAAAACTGAATTTTGGACTGTTTTATTGTTCGTATACCTTAAGGACATTATTCTATATTTTTAGACGAAGTTATTTACATCTATACACATACAGACGAGATAGCTTATATACAAAGTTATTGCACATTTAAATATACATGTTTTAATATTGATCAAAAATTTCACAGTAAGATATACGGATAACAATCCTTTATTATAGGTAACGTAGTATTTCATTTTCTACAAGCGAACACACAGTGTTTAAAGTTACTTTTTTTTCTTTTAAACATGATCTGAATATAGAATTGCTACAAACTGATTTCGTGGTAATAAAAATGAGCAATATATAACCGTTTAACATGAACAGCAATATTTAATCACGACTTACTATTAGAGATCGCTAAAAACTACTGTATATATTTACAAAAATGAGTATTTTTCCATGACTGGCTAATGTAAAATTTTATACACGTCTAAAATTTTTATATATATAATATATATAGGAAATTATTTTGTACAAGAGTAATTAATAAATAAAAAAACAACTGGCTTTGAAAAATAAAACTAATAAAACTAAATTATTCTAAAATCACAAAGGAATTTAACAGTTGATAAAAATACTTTGAAGATCGATCACCACCATAGAGGTACAGTCCTTAAATCTAGGCCATTATTTAAAGGTCACGAGACCTCTGACTCCTTTTTCAACAAATTTATATGGAAAGATTCGTTCTCTGAGTGAATGTTCCTTCTCGTTTTTGAAGCAAAAACCTTCGGACAACCTATTATGGTGCATTTGAACATTTCCGACAAATGGTTCTTTTCGCAATGCTCTTTGAGCTGAGACGGTGCCCCAAACGATATTCGACAGAATCTACAAGGAAGCTTTCCTTCTTTGTCTAACGTAGGGAGGTCCTCTTCAACACAGTGAACGTATTTCAGCGAGTTGGGTGGATGATTTGACGGAGGCGGCGATGAAGAAACTGGAGAGCTAGAAGTGGAAGATCGTTCTCTCCTCATGGCGGAACCGTTAAACTGGCCAAACGGTGGAAAACTTCCTAAAGGAAATGGTAAAACTCCTAGAGGAGGCGGTAGCAATAAAGGTGGGTTAGGAGGTCGGTCCCCGTTTAACATTAGCTGGTCTAAGTTCGAAGGAAGATGGTGATTTTTGAACGCCTCCTCCGCGCAAAGCCTGAAGAATTCGCTATGTGAAGCAGGGCTGGGAAACCCGGGAAACGGAGATAATCCAGACCCACCTTTATCCGAAGACGTCGAAAGCAGTTTTCTGTGTAAATTTAAGTTAGCACTGTGCCTATCTCTACTCCTTTTCGAAGGAAAGGCCGCATTGCATCCGTCAACGTTACATTTATGCATCAGTTTCAAATGAACGTTTTGATAATGCGTCTTTACTCCAAAATGGTTTTGGAAAATCTTCCCGCAAGCCGTACAACGTCGTGGATTATCTTTATCTATAGGAACATCCATAGTGCTTATAAAATGACCGTTTTCGAAATGCCCAAAAAACTGATTTTGGCTGTTTTCATCAGGAGATTCGCCTCCGTTACTGCTACCAGCTGAAGAGGCTTGGGAGCGAGCAGGGCTTGGAGGGCCTGTTCCAACCATAAACCCCACGTGAGGAAACTGCGCTCCAGGTCCTCCGAGTCCTAGGTGAAATCCCTTTGACATCCAATCGCTAAAATGACCGTGAGATAGACTTTCTAACTGTCTAAGAGCATTGGATGAATCAAATGACTCGTCGCTTTTGTTACTTTCCACGGAACTCGCTGGACGGTCGTCGTTTTCTTCAGCTGCTTCAGAATCGTGAAAAAGCTTTTCTTTTTTTAATTTGTCGATGGAAAAAAGGGGGGCCAGTGACGTTTTTATTTCATTGCTGATGTTTTTTTCGGGTTCGTTGGCGTTCACATCGGGACTGTGCTTGCCTAGGTCTAGAGGCGACTCGCACCTGCTCTCCGTCTTTATTTCTTTTTTCGGTTCGATTTTGGATTCCACTTCTAGTCTCCTAGTTGATTCTGCTAGGCGTTCCGCAAACACATCGCTCGAGGAATCCCCGTCGCTTGTTGGATCTTCCATCATAACAGGTACTGTGCATCGGGTTGGATTCTGGCTCTTCCGCTTTCGTTTATTTGTTTGTACACTATTCAGTTCGTCTTTTAAACTATGATTATCTACTACACTTAAAGAATCTTCGTTACTATCGACATTACTTGTTACCTCTTCGTCTGCGTCGGATATAGACATTTTCTGCTTCTTACTGGGCATACTGAAGTCTTCCGGCTGATCTGACACTGGTGGAAAGCAAACCGGAGGACTATTCACTGGCTCCTGTTTTTCTCTGACTGATTCAAATATCTCCTTAGACGGTTCCGGTTCGATGGTTGGCTGTAAATTTACTGGCTCAGGTTCTGTCTTCACTGACTCTTTTACTTCTATCTTTACTGGTTCTATTTCCATAGGAAGAGTCCTATCTTGAGGAATATCGTCATCTTCATCACCTCCAACAACTACAATACCTTCCTCTTCATCCTCCTCTTCTTCAGATTGCTGTTGATTGGATGTTGTTAAAGCTAAGACACCGCAATCTCTAATTATGTTTTTACTCTCTTCCATACTTCTTTGCATAGATAAATCTAATTTAGCTTTAAAATCCATTGTGGCTAACTGATGATATTTCATATCGGGAGTAGGTGTTAATAAAGAAAACGGGCTGAATGGTAATGGGTTTAGAGCTGCCGCAGCAGCAGCTGGTAAAGGTAGTCCAGTTTGTGGAGGAATGAGCATCGGATGAGATTGTGCGCTGCGCCCGTCGTGCGGTGATATTTTTCTTCTCAAATGCGGGGAATGTAACTTGGGATTCGGGTTGGCGCTGTGCCGATTTCTAGATCTGCGAGAACTAAACATCATGTTACATCCTTCCACTGTACACTTGTGCATTTCTCTAAGATGTACCGCTGAGAAATGAATCTTCAATGCACCTTTATCGCAAAAGTTTTTTAAGCAAACATTGCACTGCACCCTTTTCTTCCCTGTCGCTGGGTTAATAAACTGAGTCCCTAAGTTAAGAGGTAAACCAGGAGACCCCCATTGCCTTTTGTCGATGTAGACGGTTTTCTAGGCGGAAGTATCCGAGGTTGTTTAGGCGTCTTCATCGCGTCTCTATCTCGACTCAGGTTCAGTGCACTATGAGAATTCTCATCTGCATCATCATCCTCTTCACTGTTATTATTGCCAATAAATATGTCAGCGTTCGATGGAGATCGACTACCCGTGGACATCCTCGTGGGCATTAGTGAAGGAAATGAGGAAACCAAGCTTGCAGCTAAAGCGTTTGCTGATGCCATGGCAGCTGCAGATGTCGGATGATGTGGTGGCAAGCAGTTAGGTAACGAAGTTGATATGCTTAAATTTAGTCCAGTGCATTCGTTTTCGGAAGTCCGCCGTCGCACCATGTCAGGACTGACGCGGCTAGGAAAAGTCGGCAGTCCTGCAGCTCCCAACTTGCCGTAATCAAACGGCTGCATGCTCTGAAGCCGATTCAGCGGGTTGTTGTTGATGTTGTTCGGCGGAGACGAGGAATTCATGGGCCCTGCTGAAACAGGAGGCATTTTAAGAAAGCTCAAAGGATGTTTCTGATGGGGTGACATAGCATGGGCCGGCGAGTGGAAGACAGATGGCGGTGCGGTGGGAGGCGATGGTCGGCGACTAGGGGACATCGCCCGTGGGTGCGGCGAGTGTCGACGCTCCAGACGCTCCAGGGTGCGGTCCTGAAGTGCCTGTTGCGCCAGAAGGAGTTGTTGCGTTATGGCTCTGGTTTCTCCGAACCTGAGAAATTGTTGGAGGACCAGAGGCTCCTCCTCGGGATTACAGATGCTCCATCGGTCCAGAGTGCTGCCGTGTGACTCCTGCAAAAAACAGTCTGCATCAGTAAATCGTCTATAGCTTCGAAAAGAGTTTGATAATCCACACAAACCAAAATATTCATACAAAATGACAAAAATATATATAATTAATCGATCGCTGTTTGTATTTAGCTATATATAGGTAGTAGTCATGCGTCTGTTGGTCTAAAAGCAAGTTTCCAACATAAAAATCGTTTGGCGGAACGGCAAAATTTATCTGGAAATTCAAAGAGAAGGTCGACGTAGACTGTATATTTTACAAACTCAACGTATAAAAATATACTCTCGATTCGATACCGCCAACGCGCTCTGTTTAGAGACGAAGTCTGCAGACTGTCTCCTGTTCGATTATAAATAAACGGAGTGATAGTCACCTGCCCTTCTCAAACTTTAATCTACATCAAACAAGCATAGGCTTCTATAACAAGAACATAATCAAACTATACTATTTATATATGACATTCGTTGGCCGCGTCTGCTTATTGTACATCGGTTTACATGCGCTCCCAACATATTTGCTTTCAAACATGTTTACTTACTTCTTAATGGCAACAAAATATTGTTCTAAGGTAACCCAAAAAATGTGGAAAAAAAATTATTAATTATATTTACAATATAACACCCTAGTATTAAATAAAAAAAATCGTATTATGCTATTATGAATTTCGAAATGGAATATTGTAACAACCAAGGAGATATTCACCAATTTTATGTAATATTGGTACATAACGTAGAAATTATTTATCACTGATAGTATTTCTTAGTAAAATTTGTTTAGAACTAAAACACAATTTATCAAAGGAAACTCTTTGATTATTTTAATTTCTTTTCTTATTTATTTAATCAGTTTTTCAAAAAAAATCATTTTGTGATGGATAACCTCGACCCTTATTCATAATTTCCAGACTCCTTATTTTTTGATAGATTATTTCTCTTTTTAGAAAAAAATACGTTGTACTTAAACCGTAAAAAACGGTATTATAAATACTAAAAAACACTAGTGCTAAATTTAAATGATATCAAAAAATTATTTATTTTTTTCGTTTAACACAAAAATAGATTCAAGTTTTAAAATAAATAAAATCATATTTGTGTATGTACCTATTATTAACATTGCGTTTTACAAATTTAGAGTGATATTAATAATCCCTCTTTCTTTGTCGAATATTTTAGCCATAATTGACTTTCTCAAAAAATGTACACCATAGAGCAAAACTAATGTTGCAGCGAACAAGAATTGGTTTAGTAGTGATTCGACTGAAGATAGGCTGATAATTTCTGCAGTTTCCGAAGAATCCGCGCTGTCGGTGTTCGAAAAGCGATTAAATATTACAACCGAATCCGTTATAGAATTATTAGAACTACTCCGGAGATTAAAACGACGGTTGTTAACAAGATCTTACAGCATCAACTGTCTGTCAGCCATTTCAACTCGAATGCCCCATCATTTAATAGACGCTTTTGATGCTCCTGATGCGTCCTCGATAATAAAGATTGTTTTCAGACCTCCTAACAATCGATGCACTTTAGAAACCCACTTAAAATTTCAGTCTTTGTAGTATATTAACAAGATAAAAATAATAAATAATTATTTCTAAATAAGGCAGTACACAATTTATTTAGTATTAGTTATTGATTTTGTTTAGTCTATAACAGTGGCAAAGCTCACAAAATTAGAAAACAGTGGTTTTGTTTATAAACTGACTATTTCACGTGCTATACCACGATTTTTCTTGCATGGTTTCCTCACCTTATCACTTCGTTCGTTAATTTTGCGATAAACTAATGTTTAAAAACATGGATTATCTGCAGCAGACCACCGATTTTGGCAATGAAAAGTCTCGGGAAAAATGTTTATCAAATTTTACTGACCTGCATGAACTTTAAAAGTTGGTCTTTAAAATTTGGAGAATATTTATAATTCGTGAGCTCATTATTATTGATTTTTGATTAGAGAAGTACATTAAAAATGAGAAATCAGTTTGGTACTGTTTTAAAATAAATGTTATTTTTGGAAAAATGATCTAATAATACCACCACTAGGTTTTTCATAGTGATAAGGAACTTATAAAACTCATTACTGAATTGATTTTGAATAAAAAAATCATATTTCCTTATCTAAATTAAATATGTATATTTTTACAATTAACTTTAGCAAAAACAACCTTCCTATCAATTTAAATAAATTACATATACATGTGCTCCGTTGTCAAGTAATATTTTAACATCCAAAACCTTTGTATACTCATTGTATTTTATTGACCACACAAATACTAAATAAGTGTCACAAATAAATAAAGAAAATAAACATAAATAATTACAAGAACAATCTAGTGAAGAAAAAAATAATTCATAATAATTATATCACCTTTTTCATGAATAACAACGCATAAAAAACATAAATTTAATTTAAAAAAATAATTCTTTCACCTGTTAAAATTTCAATTGATTACAATGTAAGATACTTAAAAAGAAAAAAAGATTGTTTTTTCTTGTATTTCATGAATGGGTTCGAGAGTAACTGGAATTCTCAAATTAATAATATTCATAAGAAACAATATTATGTATGCAACAAAACAAGTGAAAATATAAATATATGCATACGGCGATTATTGTAATAGAGTTAATCTTATTGCGGCTATATAAATTCACTTTACGATCGTTTAAATTATTATTATTATTGAATAAATGGCGGCGGTGTCAAATAATCGTTTTTTCATTGTCCGTCGGATGTAAGTGTATTTTCGGTGGCATAGCAGAAATGATTTCCGAGAATTTTTAACAAATTTCGATATTTTTTATCCCAAAGACGTGACTAAATAAAATAAAACAGAAGTGCTTAGCCGTACGAATTGAGATCGAGGCTCCAAGTGGCCGGTTACTTATTTATTTTGAAAATTTCACGCTTTATGAATCCGAATCTGCTCCTTCCGATACTCCTGATTGGTTTGATGTCTGCGGGAATTTTTGTTTTAGTGAGAACTCTTCTTTTTACGCCTCTTTAAACGCCAAAGAACCAAGCTAAAGATCCGTGGCTAATGTCCGTCACTAATGTTCATGGTCTTGGTGAGTTATTGGCTCATTGCGCTCTTGTAAAACGACGCTAGTATTTATTAACTCACAGCAAAAGTCATTGTTAATTTAGAAAAAATAAAAACAACTAAAATTGGTCTTTTTTGCGGTTTTATCAGAGTACAAAATACTTATTTTGATAATTTTTTGGAAATAGAACACTTAGTATGGGATTATTACTTATAAAAAAGAGGAAGCAAATATCCATTTAGATTTCCAATGTGCAAGTATATTATTAAAATTATTTGGTAGACAGTGACAGTTGTATCTGTCATTTTATTTAACAAACAAATTTAATTTTCTGTCATTTTTTGGATGTTTCTTGGGACAAACATTGATTATCCTTTATGGTCTATGAAGAATAGTAATCAATGAAACAAGAATATAAATGTAAAATTATTTAGAAGTATATTAAAAAATATAACCACAGATAAGAAATTACAGACCTATATACGGGATATCCAGGATTACTTATATTATTTTCAATATGCTTTTAAATAATTTTACGACATATTTGTTTCACTTTGATTACTATTCTTCTTAGACCATAAAGTACAACAAAGTTAGAGCCCCGTCCGTATATTTTTGGTAAGTTACAGGCTTGACTCTATATAAAACGCGCAAACATCGATATCAAGACATTCAATATTGTTGGAAACACTATTAAAATCAAGAAGGATTATTAATAAACAAAAATAAACCAAAATTGGTCTTTTTCGGGATTATACCTGGCAATAAGTAATTTATTATGAGAACTTTCAGCTTTGTGAATTTAAACAGAGTTTCTGCTCTTTTGATAATCCTAAATATTTTCGTGTTTGTAGGTATTATTGATTTTGCGAAAAGTCTTCTCTTTTTGTGTCTGTTTAGTTGTTAAAGAGCGAAATTTAGAGCCAAGAAAACGACCAGAAATGAGGAGAAAGTTATTTGACGAAAAACTAAATTATTAATAGAAAAAAATATGTGTTGTGATTACTATATATTATTGTTTTGATGAGTACAGAAGTATTTATTTTAGTTAAAACTGTTAAAGTAAAAATTTAAAGGTCCGCCATCGATATTCTTTTCTTCTTTCTATTAGGAACTCGATCTTAGTTGAAGTTATTAATATAAAAAAATGGGTAAAATTTTTATTAGATTTAGTTTTTTTTAATTAAAAATAAGAGAAATGCCGGTTAATAATATTTTTAAATTGTTTGGGTCGCGTTATAATTAAATAACGTCCAATATCTAATTATGGAATTCCGAAGCGACCAAAAGCAACTATTAGAATCGAGAGAGGGCTATTAATAAGGGAAAAATGGTCAGAAAAAACAAACTGCCGCTTTTTGGGATTATAGCAAGCCACAAATTATTGGCTCTCGCGAAAATGATATGCAAAACACTGTGTAATTTGACTGTCTGTGATTCTTTCACTGCACGAAATCACCGTCTAAAAAGGCTTACATATTAATAAGGGCTTCAAACGCATTCGTGCCAAGTAATTGTTTCTACGATGCGTTTATTGCGGGCCCATATGCATAAAGGACATCATTAATCTACCAAACACAAAAATATTCACGGCGCTAACGACTGGGTCCAGCCGCTAATCGCTAAATAACTGTTTAAATAAACCAACACAAAATTCCGTAATTAAAAAGGCATTAACATAGGGGAAAATAAAAATGATGTGACAATAGGTATGAAATAAACATGTCCAGAATTTTTTGTACTATCACGTTACTGATTGGATGAGACCGAGAAAATAAATTGAAATTTGTAATGGTTTAACTAGAGGCTGCGGTATTAATTTTGTGTTATTTTTTATTAATTTTTTTCTCTATTTAACGCGCGACGGAATTGAGCGAAAAAAAAGTTACGAGCGCGTTAATTTGATTTTGAACTGGTCCTACCTGCACAATATATCCTCTAGCGTAATCTTCGATGGTCCAGCCAAATCCATGCAACACTCGAATCACTTGGTCCTTTTGGAGCACAGTAAACAATCGATCGAGAAGAATCTTGAGTCGGATCGGTAACGCTTGACATCCGTACAGAATTAAACTAGCTGTGTCGAACGCAGCATTCACATGCACCGGTTCAGGAGCACTGATACTGAAGAGATGTCGCAGGCCCAACTTGTCCAATGCTGTAACAAAAGTGGGGGTAACTCACAGCGTGCGCACTGAGGGGGGCGGGGCCAGATACGAAGGGGGGGTTGACAAAAGGTGGACGCCAAGTGTAGGTGACGATACCCCTTCGCAGGGACACTCTGCGCCCCTCAGACCAGCAGGACCGTCTCTATAGTACGGTATACTCTGTGGCCCAAACGCCAGCTATACAGCTACTCCTGCTGGCGTTTCGCCTTTAATTGATATCAATTTGCATTTCTGATGCTTATTTATTAGGCGTGCTCTGGTGGAAAAATGTTAATTTTTCATTAAGCAGGACTCAATTTGCATAGCAGAATTTCTTAGAAAATTTTATCTAACTACTGAAATATTATTATAAATTTTGGCTAAAAATTAACTGATATAAAAATAAAGGCTAGAAAAAATATTAAATATCCACAGTTTTATCAAAATCTACATATTTAAAAAATCGGCAATTTTTATGAAAATGGAAAATGAGATGCTTTCAATATTCTGAAATTTTCAGAACTTGTAGAAAATTTTATGTAAATTTAGAATATGTATGTAAACATATAGGGGCTTGAATGCTTGGGCTTAATAAAAAAAATTAGTTTTCCGACTCTTGATCATGGAGAATTTTTTAATGATAGATAAAATTTTGTCTACTTCATTATACAATTTGTCTACATAGCGAGCTCTAAAAAAGCCTATATATTTTCGAATTCTACACCTTAAAATAATTTAATAACAGTAATTTTATATAAAACGGTGACTTGTGACCAAAATTAATAATTTTCATGAGTATATGCATGAAAAAATGTCGAAAACTTATCGTTTTGGACATTTTTGTATGTTCTTAGAACTGTAAGAAAAATAGTATCGATGGTCAAAACATCGCCGAAGATTTTTTTAATTTAATTTAAATTCAGGGTATCCTATGTTGACAAATTATGCAAAAAAAAAATTTTAATTGAAAAAAATATATATCGTCAGCTTTATGACGAAAAGGCGTATCTCGATTTTCGCAACTTATAAGGAAAGCAAATTAAAAATTCTAAATATTTATTAATTTTAGTATTTAGCATAGGGCAATTTTTTAAATGAATAGAAAATTGATACGGTATAATATTGAAATACAGCCAATTTTCCATGCTAAAAAATGATCCATTGGGTATGAAGTTGATATCTCGAAATTGCCAAAAATCGAGATACGCTTTTCTTTATAAAGCCGATGATATTTTTCCTATTAAAATTATTTTTGTGTATTAAATTATTAACTAAATAGAGTCTGGTTACCTAGCAGTAAGCTGATTAAAATTAAAATTAAATTGACTGACTAATAAAAATATTTTTTTTCTAAAAAGTATGCCGAATTTTAAATAAAAAAAAACTGCTGTAATTTTTAAAAACTTGGGTCATTGATTGGAAATAAATTCACTAGATGTACGCCGTAGAAATCAGTGTGGCGATTGCGAATGTATTTTTAAAATTTAACGGATTTGTCGAACTTTTCAGGTGTGTATCTTTCATCGGAAATAATTAACTTTTCTAAAAATAATCTTATAATCCAAAAGCGAAATTAACCAGATGTCACTACGACGAAAAATATTGTACTGCTTACGGTCATTTGACTGACGATTTTTATCTGAATAATTAAATGGCGATAAAATCACAATAAAAATCATCTGCCGGACGGCAATTTTCTACAATAGGCAATTAAGTCTTTCCTTTTATTTTAGTTCTTCTGTTTTAATTAAGGATGGTAAAGCCGAGACCCATTTTAGCGGTATTTAGGGAATAATTCATTTCATTATATGGTCCACTTCACGCCTAAATATAAAATTTACATTAAAAACTTTCTGCTAAAACCCTAAAACATATCAAAAATTTCATAAATTTCTGATACATAAAGCCAAACTATTAAATAATATTCTTGAGATACCCAAAGTTTTTTTACGTAAGATAATTAGGTACGCCATTTATATAGCTAATGATTTTATTAATATGACAATGCAAATCGTTTTGGTCAATCTTTTATGATAAATAAATTAATTATCTATAACCAAAAAATTTTCTTCAATGTACTTTCAGTATATTAAAATTTAATATTAGGTACACCGATATCAATATACCGTTAGGATATGATGGTTACAATAGAACTTTAGACATAAAAATATATTAGATTTTGCTACACAATTGCTCTTGGGCTTTTAGGAAAATACTTCAAAATTGTTGAAAATATTTTAGAAATTAATACTGATGATAAGGCCGGGGACCGCAGTTTGGATTCCGCGTAAACAAAGTAGGCCCCGTTCAGATTAATATTAGCAGGAAAAAAAGAGACGTTAACTTGAAATACCGTATGATCAAAAAAACGGCGTCAAGTTGGCTTGGAAATGAACATCGATGACATTCCCCATATAATTTTAAATATAAAATGATAGCGATCTTCATTTCATAGCCATCGCTGACGCCGTTTTTTTCGATCTACGGTAGTTTACTTACTTATTATTATTTTTGGTACGGCGTACTATAATTTTACTTCTATGTATAATCTGTTGGTCAGAAATAAAGACATTATTATTATTACTAAAAAATACGTATTTTTAAGAGCTTTTAAAGTAAAATTATTGAAATAATTTCCTCGACTGCACTTATGGGTTGATGATTAGTTCCAGTAGCGATTCTCGACGTGGTGGCATTGATCTTCAGTGACATTTCTTCGGCTTGACTTTGGCTACCTGGCTAATCCCGGCGCTAGCCTTTCTTACAAAGGGACTTAAATTACACGACTGATTAGTTTAAGACTTATTACATTTAAAAAACAAACGTACGGTCTGCCTCTATTTCTTGCCGATTGTTGTAAAGCCGAACTGTATCTTAATATTCTTCAGTTTCTTTTGTAAGGTATCTCATAGACCACCCATGTAGAGGAGGCAGTTTACGTTAGAAATGTTTGTCAGAAATTTTGACACGTTTGGTTACAAATAATGAAATTATAAAATTTATAATTTCATTATACATTATTTTTTCACTTCGATACATTTAAAGTCTATGCATTTCTCAGACAAAAATATTAAATTCTCTTTTATATTATTAGTCCTAATGATAAGGAATCCAGTGTTACTTTTTGACAATATGTTTTCTATGAATACCCAATGCCTGACTCTCTGATAGAATGATTTAGTGACGACAATCTGCTACCGAATAGTTCATTAAGTCTCATTCACGTTGACATAAAAAGAATGCTGAGAAAGCAATTTGACTTCTTGTATATGAGCCGAATCATTTTTTACAGTTGAAATTTGTGTAGATTATTCATCAGGACCAGATGTACATATTTTATTTATTGTGTTTAAAAGTCAGAGTACTTTTAAAAAGTATAACTTCATATTTTAAATCACACTGTTAAATTAATGTTGAACAATATTTAAAACTTTGTCTATGTTTTCGAACGATTTTCGACGATGGTTAAAATTATGCCTACATCTAAAACTGTAATTGTAAGGTCACAATGGCCTATATTTTCGTTTTCTACGTCTTCTAATTGTTAAATAACAGTAGTTTTATTCAAAAATGTCGAAAAATTGCCCATTTTAGGCCATTTTTTACCTATTTTCAAGGTACTTGGAAATATAGTAAACATTGCGATAAAATTATGCAAATTTCAGGATTTATAGTAAATTTTATGTACTATTATTATATGTAAACACTTAAAACTTTAGCTCTGTTGATTTTTTCCACCCTTGTTTTCTAAACGATTTTTGATGATGGTTAAAATTATGCCTACATCTAAAATTGTAATTATAGAGCCACAATGGCCTATATTTTCGTTTTCTAAGCATTCTAATTAGTAAATAACAGTAGTTTTATTACAATCGATGACTTGACCAAAAGCGCCAATTTTCATGACTGATTTTTGGCCATTTTTACCTATTTTCAAGGTGCTTGTAAACATTGCGATAAAATTATGAAAATTTCATGATTTGTAGTAAATTTTATGTGCTTTTATAATATATATATATATATATATATATATATATATATATATATATATATATATATATATATATATATATATATATATATATATATATATATATATATATATATATATATATATATATATATATATATATATATATATATATATATATATATATATATATATAAACGCTTAATCTTTAGTTCTGTCGTTTTCTAAAAAATGAGTTTTTCCACCCTTGTTCCTGAACGATTTTTGATGATGTTTAAAACTATGCTTAAATGTAAAACCGTAATTATAAAGCCAAAACGGACTATATTTTCGATTTCTACCCCTTCTAATTAGTAACATTCAGAAGTTTTATTAAAATCGGTGACTTGGACCAAAATCGCCAATTTTAATGACCCTATATTAAGAAAAAAGCCGAAAAATTGCTCAAAAATTGGCAATTTTTCAAAATTTTTAGAAAAACAGTAAACATGAAGAAAAATTTTGAAACTTTCAGCACTTATAGAAAATTTAATGAGGATATATAAAGATATGAAGGGTGTACATGTTTGAGTGTTCTGACAAAATAAATTTTCTGAAAGTATATAAAAAATAATTATTTATATAATTAAATTTATTTTAATAAAATGCCCTTGCTATATAATAATTTTCTAATTCTCTAGAATTTTCAAGAAAGGGCCGTTTTAAAGAAAGCGTTCTGATTTAGAAGAAAAAGAGGTAAAAAAATCACGTTCGTGCTTAGAGCTTTTATACGAAACACAGACAGAAAATTGTAGTCATAATGAAAAGGGCCGGCTAACTTGTTAAAAAAGACATTGGCTAAATATTTAACAATCATTATAAAAGCGGCTCGTTTTCTAAGAACTGGCGTTGCGTGACACTTTGATTTCTAAAACTGAAAAGTCCCCTGTAACAGGTACAAAGAGTTTTCGGTGACATTTAATAGGCCCCCAAGAAAATTTATCGACTAGTTTTTTTATAACCTGTGAACAAGCCATAATGACTTGTTTTAAAATTCATTCT